AGAGGAAGACACACTTCGTCAGGTCTCAAAACGAGAATGGATTGTGATGAGATTGGGCACCCAGAGAGAGAGATGAACCATTATACCGAACCGAATAAGAAATCCAGATGTTTTGACAGTGGTGACGCCATCAACGACTTGATCACTGCAGGATTCAAAAACTTCACAAATTGCTCTAGATTCAATTTTGAATCATTTAATCCAAAACTTGATTGAGACGAATTGCTCCGATGTATTTTAAAAAACCCTTGAATTGACAGAGCGGCCATCAAAGTCATAACTATTGAATGCTAGGGTTTTTGATTTGGGACTATGGACTGAGAATTTTCTTCAAATTAAGGATTGAAAAGTAGAAAGAAAGAAGGCTATTGCTCTGCATTGGGAGGTCCGGTGATATTTTGTTTTTGACAACTCTGGGCATCATCCATGAACTTCAGAGAGAGATCAAGGAGGTGTATTTGGGTGTTTAAGAGGATTTTATATATACATATATATATATATATATAATTGCAAGAACAAGCATTTCATAAATGAATTGATTCAGATTCTAGATTCTATATATAGAACAATGTATATATATACACCGGATTTTTGGGAAGAAGATATATATCTCTATAGAGAAAGCGAAAAACTTAGCTGTTTTTTTTTGGGAAGGAAGGTTAAAATGACGCAGTTATAAAATAGGAAATTGATTTTTTTCTTTTTTCGACATCGAAAGCTGACTTGGTGGGATAAATTGCAACAAAATTCAAGGGGGTTTCTTGCAAAACCCTAATAGTTCAAGGTGTATTTATTTTTTTTTTTTTCACCCTATTATTTATACACAATTCCATAGTTTGTTATCATAAAATAAAAAATAAAAATAAAAATAAAGGAGGAGAGATTGTAAACTACAAAGTTTCAATTCAAGGGTTTTGGGTAATTTTGATGACAACAAACTATTGTAGTGTTATGTTGATCATGTTTAAAAACCACAAGCATTTTGATAAGCGGCATTATTCAAAGGAGGAATGGAAAGTTATTTTTAGGCCTAGACTTTGTTGGTTTTTTTTTATCAAGAAAACATTCATGCACTCATTTGTCGAAGTTTGGTTATTGTTTTATTTTTATTTTTATTATCTTGACAAAAAATATATTCATATATCTATTTAAAAAATGGAGATGTACTACATGACTAGCGCATTTAGTGATGGGAGTTTAGTTGTTTTAAGTTACACAATTTGCTTACTTTTAATTTTAAGCAAAATTTATGCCTTATAATATATTGTCCATTATTTTCTGATATAGTATTTTCCAATATATATTTTCGTTTACCTTTTTTATTGCATAGTTTGTTTGTGAGTGGGAGAGATTGCGCACTTTATAATAATTATGGGATATACACATATATACATGGGGGAACTTGATTATTACAGTGGAGTCGAAGGGAGCTTGATTTTTGTCTTATTTTATTTTGTTCATTTATGCAAATATTATTTAATATTGACAAATTTTGAGGCTGCTTTCGGCTGTATGGTTTTAGAATTAAAATTGAAGAAAATTTTTGTTCAATTTTGTGAGTTACTTTTTTTTTAAATTCTGATTCAAATTTCAATTCCATGCAGCCGAACATAGCCTAAGAGTATTTTATCGTCTTTCAAATAAAAAGTTAAGGGTTCAAGTTCTGAATTAGTGGGTATTGAGTATATTTCTTGTTGGGATAACTAAGAAAAATAAAATTGAACAAAGTATACTGAGATTTCTGATTTATTTGAGTTCCACGTTGATCCCTTGAACAAAAGACTTGAATAAAGTTGGGCAGAATTGGATAGACAGTAAAATGTTCCAGTACAATTAATCTAGTGGCCTCCAATCTCATTCAAATTGGATTTCCGTTTGATTCAAACTCCAACTTGAGCAAATTATTGAGACCCATAACTCTGTCGTCTAACTCTAAAATTTAAAAAGGTTGATTTCACTTACACTCCCTTAAATTTAATAATTTTACCTTTAATTTTTTTAATAACTTTTAATGTAAGATATAAAAATAAAAAAAAAACTAAAAAGACTAAAATACCCTTACCCTCACTGCAAATTTTACACTCCCCCTCTCTCGCTACAAACCCTGATTATCATAAACTTTTAACAGTGCAGCGACCATGGTGGTTGCTGTTATCGACGACCTGGAAATTAGTTGGAATTATTATTTTTTATTTCCGGCTACTGTCTATGGTAATCTGCAGGCACTTTACTTTTTCAGCATGTGACCAATTCAAATCTGATACCTGGGTTTGACCAGGAAAAACAAAATTGTGCAAAAAATTGCAGTGAAACTACATGTGCATATATGCACATCAATACACACACTCTGGTGGTTCCGGCATCGAGAGAGAAGAGGCGACCAAAGTGGTTGCCGGTGATGAGGAACCATTAATGGCTTCTCTGTCTCTCTTCTTTGCCGACAGTACTGAATAAGAAGGAAAAAAAATAAGATTAAAAAGAAAAATTCTTTACAGGCGGTAATGAAGAAGAAAAGGAAATTAGAAAATAAAAAGAAAAAAGAAAAAGAAAAAGATATAGAAAAGGTAAAGAAAACTGGTTGTGTTGCATGATGAGAAATATATATATAAAGAATAATTATATAGAATAGTTTTAAAAAATAATTATAATTTAGTTGATGTATATAAAGAGAAATATATATATATATATATAAAGAATAATTTTAAATTAGAGGTGGTTGTCCATGATGATATATATATAAAGAATAATTATAAATTTATATAATAAATGTCAAAGGATATTCAAGTCATTTCAACACTTTTTTTTAAAGCTAATAGATAGTTAAAAGGGTAGTAATATTATTTTACATACAAAAAAAAAGTATATGACACACTTGAAAAGTAAGTTTGTGATATAAGTAATAGTTATTTTCGAAAGATATTTCAATGTAATATTTGGCCAAATTAAGGGATATTAATGAAATTAACTCAATTTAAAAATTTTAAGGTGTTAGGTTGTATGATTTATTTGTTTTTTTAATTCTAAGAGCAATTTCAAAGGCATCTAAGAACTGTGTTAACATATTGACCTCTCTAAATTTTAGTTATTGCACTTTTTACAATGGTGCGTTTTTGCTCTATAAAAATAATAATAATTTAATATATATATATATTATTATTATTATTTACCTTTTTTTGTTTTAACTTTTTTCCGATGGCTATATTTTTTTAACCAAACGAATATATTTGTAAATAATTCAAATTGGTAAATCAATTTTTTTTAAAAACAAATAATACAATATCTATTATGGATTGATGTATTTATAGAGTGAAAAGAAAGGGAAAAAAATTCATTTTTTAAGGATAAAACTAAAACAAAAATTTGAAAATTAACTTTTTTGGATCAATATAGCCGTTAAGGCATTCTTTGCATCATCCAAACAGTTCTTTAACGGCTATAATATCATTATGTAGAAAAAATAAACAAAAAATAATTTTTTTTTTAATTTGTACATTTTTTATTTTAACCCAAAATAACCGTTTTGGCACGGTTTGTATCAGCCAAAATACAGAGAAAAAAAAAAGTTCAAAAAATTGATTTTTGGCTGTTTTATAACCCAAACAGGGCTTTAACACAGTGCTCTACGCCTGGATTTTTTTTTCTTTTTTGTAAGCCCGCGATTACCAACTGGGTCGTCGAATTCCGCAACCCATTTTTTGGGCCTACAAAATGGCGACCGCCATTGGAACGAATTGGATTGTCATAATTGGATTGGGCTCGCAAAAACTGGGTTCCATGGGCCCATTAGAGTTGGCTCCAATCGTAGTGTGAAAATTGACAAGTCTCCTACAATTTCCCAAAAAAAAATTCTCGGCAAATGTGATTCTGAGCAATGCATTGGCAGATCCAAAGTTGGCTTGTAACTATTTTTTTTTTTTTTTTAAAAACTTTTCACTAAAAAGATCTTGGCACTTCCATCCCTTTTAAGTTTCTGCTTTTTGCATTCCAAATTGAATGATTGCTTGAGCACACAATTAAACCTATTTACCGAACTTATGCAATCATCATTTGACACAAAAACAAATGTGACAAAAATGTGCAAGCTCTATTTATTTATTTATTTATTATTATTATTATTTATTTAAATGTCAAATAATAATTGGCCGAAACCATATAATAATTTCTCTTACTTTTGATTAATAAGTCCCATGATTTTCTCCATTGAGGTTTTCGGAGTAAAAGATTGTTTTCTCTTATCAAATGCTGTGGTACTAGGAAATATTCAAGTCATATTCTGCATTGTGCTCTCAAGGACATCTCGCATTGTATGTAATGGGTTTTGCCAAGTCTGTGTTGTTTGTTAGGAAAAAAAAATATATATATATATATATATATTTGGAACTCAATTAAATATTAAAAATCAATAATAACCAGTCATAAAACAAGCAAGTAGACCAACTTTACCCAATACTAATGCTAAATTTTGAAAGTCTACAATAGCCAGGGTACCGTAAGCCCGAGGTTCTCATCCGTTGGATGTGCACCTGATGAATGATCCAATTGCTGAGAGACCCGGGGGTACCGTATTGTAGACTTAATCAATCTAATCCTGTCTGTTGGCATGTTCAGCAACTATGTTTAGATCAACAACAATAATTAGACACTTTATTATTCTAAACTCGTTAACACTCGGTGAACACATTAATGATTTATCAATTCAAATTTCTCTCTACTACTGAAATTAACATGTCAAAGATGCTGACAATCCTATCACTAGATTTAGAAAAAGGCCTATATATCTGCAAAAGTTTCATCTACTACTACAAAATCAGACTTCCAACACCAGCAAAAAAAGGGCGAGACAGAGAGGAGAGGATTTAAAGTAAGTGTTGCAGATATCCATGCCTGCTTGGCATTCATTTTGAGCGGTCAAGAACAGCAGAAAGTTAAGGTTTAGCTTCATATGTGGGTGTCGACATCTGCGGTCAAGAACAGCAAACCAACCCACAACAGTAGAAAACTGATTTTGAAGTCTGGGATGCTATTCAGATCTTCATATGTTAATCTAATATCATGGCACAGTACTCCATTGTTGTTTTACATTTTTGTTGAAGTTTGACAAGAAACATAATATACGAGAAAATATTTCGCAACACTGTCTGAAAATATTGTCTACAACATCAATTTATCGAGTAAACAAACCGCCAGTTATAGTGTCCGTTGCACAATCTAGACTCACAGAGAACATGGCGATAATATGAGGACGATTAGCAAGGAAAAGTGAAAGCGGTGGCTATAAAATAAGGGGCAATATAGAGAACCAAATATCTATAACTGAAAAATGAAAGAACAAAAAAAAAAAGACTTCAAACTAGTTATGTAAATTTGTTACCCAATGAATTCTCCACTTGAATCCCACGGTCGATTTTCAAATGATTTTCCAATAACACTTCGCTTCACAACAATAGTCCCATCCTCACACTGGTACTCAGGAAAGTAATCCAAAAATGTTTTGCTGCCTAGTTTGTCAATTCCATCGAAGAGAAAGTTCCTCAACAAGTCCTATAGAATAGTGTCAAAGTAAATTAGCTGAACCGGGAATTAGCAGAATAACAACAAATCTCATTAATTCAAGATAATACCTTGGAAAGAGTCTCCCCAATCAACTTTTTCAGAACTTGATGACCGGGATCCTGGTTTCCAAAAGTTGCACCAAACAAATAAATCAAGAAGAAATACTTCAATTTTCAGTGAAACAATAAAAATATGGTGGTTCCTTTTGAGGGCTGATCTAAGTTTGGCATTTAAACTCATGGTTGATTCAAACTTGACCAAATTCGAATCAAGTTTGGCATCTTAGAATTGACCCAATGCTGGTTTTATGTAGTAGCATCAGCAAAACAAATCTATAAGATATATAACAAAAGGCCATAAAGCAATAAAATCAATTATATTAACAATTACAATTAAAATTTGATCCATGTGACCGAAGATTGATCAATTTTGGCATCTAGGCTCATGCTTCTTTAGCACTGACCACAACCCAACAGTTTTAATAGTTTGAAAAAGATATGGAAGCTAACTTTCAATGAGGTTACGTTATGAAAAAGTGTCTTGTGGTGTCATATTCCATGAGAAAAAGTTGTGTTATGGTCTATATGTCGGTCAAAAAGTGGAAGGGTTCACATCGACATTGAAGGTGTGACTGTAGATTGACGACTCAGCTAAAAGATCGCATTGACATATTGCTTCAACCTTCACTAACCACAAAATATAAAGAAGGTAAGTGATCTAAAAGACCATAGAATTCGAAGTCAATATATTAGGCAACTTGAATTAATTTAAAAGTACTTATTAGCTACTTTTAATAAAGTTATAAAGCTTAAATTGAATATCATTTATTTAAGGGTAAAGTGCAAAAACCCCCCTGAACTATATTTGAATTTGCAAGGAACCCCCTTGAACTATATTTTGTGCATAATACCCCCTCAACTATCTCGTTCAGTTGCAAAATACCCCAATGCCTAGACTATTTTTTATTAAATGACCATAATGCCCTTTCTTTTTGAATTACACTTAATTTATTTTTCTTATTGAAATAAATTATGAAAAAAAAACTCATACTATATTGATGACATATTCTACATTAAATTTTCATAAATTTATCTTTAATTTTTATATTAATTGTTTAAATAAAAATATTCAGTAGAAAATTTTAAAACAATTTAAGTAATTTTTATTTTTTTCCATAAATATATTGCATGAAAATGAAGGTATTTTTTATTTAAATAATTTCTTAATTTTTCATGAATATATTTGAGGATACCGAAGGCGGCATGGGCCGGATCCAACCCATATGATGAAGAATGGTCCTGGTAAATGACCTGGGCCCGAATCAAGCTGTCATCAGGCAAGCCCAATGCTGAAGAGTGAAGCTGGAGGCCCTTAAAGGCGATCCAGCCCAGGGTTATAAAAGCCTCGAGGATGAGCCCAATGAGAAAAGTTAGTTAGAAATCTTTTAGAACACTGTAAACAATCTATAAATAGGCAAAAAATAAAGGAGAGAGAGGATCGAAATGTTTGAAGTGTAATGAAACTTTGTCAATTTAGGGAGAGAAAATTATTGCATCTTCAATGGCGCCATCTGTGGGAAACGATGAGGATTGATTGATGTTTGATTCAGATTGATTCGATCCAGTGTAGTTCGTGAAGACGAAGCTTGATCGTTGAAGGCAGAATCAAGATCGGTGAAATCGTGATCTGTCTGACCGAATCTCGAATCCAGTTGATTTTGAGAGGTTGGCATTCGATCTACGCAGCTCTGATTTGTGCTTGTTCTGGTGAGCTGTGCGGTCGAGATTTGCTAAGATTGCTGAATTTGGCAAGTTCGTCACCGGAGCAACTCAGATCCGGCCAATCACGATCGAAATTCAACTAAGCTAGAATCCAAATCTAGAGCATTCGCATTGGCGAAGTTCAGATCTGATCGGAAATTTGCGTTTAATGACTTTGCTAAGATCCGGAATGATGATCGGAGGAGAGAGTTCAAATCTAGTGGAGAATGGCCAGCAGATGAAGCTTGACGAACTGATGAACATGATTGAGGCTCTGAAAAAATAAAATGCAGAGTTGAGAGCTAGAATGGAGCGCCGAGAGGTTCTGGTTGTGCGGCGACCGCCTCCGGTGGGCGAAAGAGGCGTGCGGCCAGATGAAGCACATCAAGGTGAGCAAGAGGGAGATAACCACGTCGATCTCCATCGCGAGGAGGTCAGGATGGAGAATTTACCACCAAATGCTCGTTGAGTTGAGGATCGAGAAGGATCTATACACCTCGATCCGCATAGTGAGCAGATCAGGCGGGAAGAAACTACAGCTTTCAATCTACATCAGGAAAGGCACAATCGCGAACAAATTATGGAGTTTGATTGTCACAAGATTAACTCGCCGTGGCATAATGAGTTCACCGAGGAAAGGTCGTTCGATCCACCTTATCGGCCTTCAATAGCCACATATGAATATAAGAGCTCGGAAAGAAAACCTACAGATCAAAGAATTGCCAAAAGGATTGAAAGAGAGAATGAGACCCTCCGTTCAGCAGCACGGACGATTGATTCGCCGTTTACTGACGAGATCCTGAATGCTCCGAGCTCAAGGAAGTTTTCCATGCCTGTTTTCATTCTGTTCGACGGAACAACTGATCCGATTGATCATGTGTATCACATTCAGTTGAAGATGGCACTAAACACGGAGAATGATCCCTTGATGTGCAAATGTTTTCGTACAAGCTTAGCTGGACCGGCGCTCAACTGGTTCAAGAACCTGCCGAGGGGCTCGGTAGACAGTTTCCGTAGTCTGTGTGATCGGTTCATAAGCCAGTACTATGGGAATAAGCGCCCGGCAAAAGATATCTCTAGTCTGTTCGCTATGAAGTAGCATGACAATGAGCGTCTCCAAGCCTTTCTTACCAGGTTCAACCTAACCAAGAGCATGGTGATAGAGTGCCATCCTTCCACAGCAGTTCAAGCGTTCAAGTTAGTGATGACCCGAGGGACACCGTTCCATACAAGTTTGGTGGTGAACACGCCGAAGACAATGGACGAGCTGAATGAGAGAGCTGATGGCTTCGCGCGTCTGGAAGAAGAGGAAGGAGCTAATGCTAGGAAGACATCTCTCATCTCCACAGAAGAGAAGTCCAAAGCCAAGATACGGCAGAAACAAGCTCCGCCACAACGTCAGACTTCCTGAAAGGCAGAGAAGAGGCCCAGGGAAGATGATTTGATTACTCCACTCAAAGTTACGCTGGCAAGGCTATACCAAGAAAACAAAGATAAGTTTCATCCTCCTTTGCCAAATAGACAACCTCTCGAACAGAGGGATCAATCTAAACATTGTGCTTTTCATAGTGATTTTGGTCATCAGACTAATAAATGCAGGAACTTAAGGAGGCAAGTGGAGATGCTGATCGCTAGGGGAGAGTTTGCAGGATATGTTCAAAGACCAACCCAAGAGCAAAATCGACCAATTGAGCAAGTCAAAAGAAATCAAAAGCCGAACCACCATAACACTCAGCCCGTTCGGATTATAAATGCAATTTATGGTCGACCTGAACGAGCCGAAGAGTCCGAGGAATTGATCCGAACGCGTCTTCGCTAAGCACAAATGAAGAGAAGAATAGGCAGTGTCAACACTCTGCACCAGCAGAGCACATCAACGCAGATAAGATTCGATAAAGCAGACTTGATGCGAGTTCAGATTCTTCATGAAGACCCCCTGGTCGTTAGTTTGATAGTGGCAGAGTGTTTGGTACGAAAAGTGCTAATTGATCCAGGGAGCAGTGCCAATATCATGCCTAGAGTCACCTTCGATCGGCTGGAAATCAAGCCAGAGGAGCTCAAATGTACTGGGAATCTATTGTTGGGATTTGATGGAAAACGAGTTGAACCGATCGCCACAGTAGAATTGCTTGTTTGGGCAGCCGAAAGGGAGCTTATCGAGAGCTTTGTGGTGGTGGAGATTCATCCCTCTTACAATCTGTTGATGGGGAGAGGGTGGATTCATAGGGTACAGGGAGTCCCATCGACCCTGCACCAAGTGATGAGATGCCTGAGTCCGGACGGGAGCAAGGTAATTGACATCCATGGGGATTAGATTGCCGCAAAGGAATGTTCCTCAGTGACTTTAAAAGCCGCTGGGAAGGGAAAAGCTCCCATTCGCTCTGCTAGCACACAATAGCAATTAAAGAAACCTCCCCCTGGCACGAACGGGGAGGTGCTTTCGGTGCAAACCGAGGAACCCCTAGTTGAAGTTCAAATTGATCATTTGAGGCCAGATCGAACCACAAAGATAGGTTCAGGGCTTGCCGAGGAAGAAAAACGTCAGATGATTGATTTCCTCTCCCAGAACGCAGATGTATTCGCTTGGAGCCATCTGGACATGCCAAGGATCGACCCCTTAGTCTCTTGCCATTCTCTTAATGTAGATCCGAGCGCCAAGCCTATGAGGCAGAAGCAGAGAAGGTTCGCCCTGGAGCGCAACCAGATCATTCCAGACGAAGTTAATCGATTGTTAGAGGCTGGGTTCATTAGAGAAGTACAATACCCGGTCTGGTTGTCGAACGTGGTTGTAGTGCAAAAGAAGAACGGAAAATGGAGAGTTTGCATTGATTTCGCCAATCTGAACAAAGCCTGCCCGAAGGATAGTTTTCCACTTCCAAAGATTGATCAAATGGTGGACGCAACAGCTGGGTATGAACGGCTGAACTTTCTGGATGCTTATTCAGGCTACAATCAAATCCCAATGGACCCGAGCGATGAGGAAAAGACCTCTTTTGTCACTGAACGAGGGATCCATTGCTACAACGTCATGCCGTTCGGACTGAAGAATGCCAGAGCTACGTACCAAAGGTTGGTTAGCAAGATTTTTAAGGATCAAATGCGCAAGACAGTGGAGGCTTACATCGACGACCTGGTGATAAAAAGCAAACAGAAGGACCATCACTTGAAGCATTTACAAAAGGTGTTCAGCGTACTAAGAAAGTATGGAATGAGGCTGAATCCAACTAAATGCTCGTTTGGCGTAAGATCCGGGCAATTCCTTGGCCAAGTGGTCAACAACAGAGGGATTGAGGTTAGCCCAGCCTAAGCGGAAGCTTTGCTAAAAAATGCTGAACCAAGCACTGTCAAAGAAGTCCAAG